AGTCCTTTTCATTAGTAGTTCCATACACAAATTGAGGATAATTTCACTTATTTATTCATACCTGTGTGTTAAAACTGGATTACTTCCAGGCATAAGTGCTTTACAGTCATCAGGAGAACTGCACCTTTTATCTAAATTCCTTTAAAATACATCACACATATGATTACTCTTACGAAATAAACTGATGCAAAGCCATTTTTGCAAAATGCCTACAGCAATGTAAAACCTTGCATTTCTTTGGCCTCACCAGCTTCTCCTCTGCCAAAGACCTGTGGAAGTTTATTTTACCCTGGGGATCAAGTCCCATAATACTGTAATGCTATTTTAAAAATGAAATAGTGATCATAAGAACAGTATATGTTTAAATGGGGTAATATATTGCATATTTGTATACAATTCGTGCTTTGAGGTGATGCTGTGAGATTCTTGTGCCCTGCACAGTAACTAAATAACCATAAATGATCTTTCATGCATATGCAAATCTGTCCCTCTAAGCACCTTATTAATTATTTCAAAGATACTTGGAGGTCACCACTCATGGAAATTTCTATGCATGAAGTCTCATTAATACAGGACGTCATACAGAGCAATGGGATAGATTTTTGTTGCTATTTAACAAGGGCAGAGAGAGTATAAACTGTAACGTTTACTTTTTTATTTTAATGAGCAATAAAATACTACCAGCTCCTATCTATAAGTCCTTCCTCCAAGCTGATATAGTGGGTTTGAATCATGGGGCTGCAACATTATTCAGAATAGCTAATCCTATCAACACACCAGAGTTTCCATGCTCAGAGCTGCAGTCCTCCATGCCAGCTGTTCTCAACTAGAGTAGTGCTGCCTGGCACTAGATTAGCAGCTAGACATTAGGGAATTAACTCTCTTCTTCCAAAAATCACAGCGATGACATATTTTGTGTCGGAACAAAGTGAAACTATGTCATTTTCAAGGTGATATATCATAGATCATCAGCAGAGACAGCCTTTTCCGGAACATATATTACCTTCTGCTTAATTACGCTGCACAGCAGAAATTAAAGAAAACCAAAAATATAACCACAAAAAACGGTTGAATGCAATGACAAAATCAACCTTCTGGCATACATCAGACAAGGAGGTAAGATATTAAACATACTTGAGAAGCACTATTTATCTGAAATCCCTAGACCCTTTCCAGCACAAGTTATCATATACATGTGATAACACTGATCTTGTCTGTCACAGTGACCCTCTGCTGTAGCAGCTGCTGTTTATTTTTATTCTGTTGTGCGTGTGGTGTTTTCACCTCTAGATTGATCCAATAAAAGATATAAAAAAATCTGCTATGTCAGTACATTCCCTTGATAAAAATCGGGAACAGGGAGTCAAATGTTAATGGAAACTGTAGGCTATGTTCATTATTTTATCTCTATTTTTCAAAAACACTAGGATGAACAGAACTAATTGGAAGTGCAAACAACTTAAATAGGCTTAATTACAAGACCATACTCTCCTATACAGTTCTAGGGCAATGTGTGCACAAATGCCTCAGAGAAATGAAGTAGATTTTAAGTAAATCCTTTCTTATTTGAGAATAGAAAAGCGAAATCATTTTCTACAAAGGATGAACCCACAACATGAGTATCTTCTGTTCATGACAGCATAAGTACTGCTTTAGCATTGCTTTGCAACATTTAAAAATACATGCATTAATACAGAGTAAGATTTTCACTGTCTGTGCGACCTAGTCACTTACCACAACATAAACCTCATTACAGTAAACATAACTCTGTTTCATAGTCCCTCTAGAAACAGGCTCAAATCAAAATCTCACCTTTCAATAAAGCCTAGATCTAATATTTTTTTATTTCAAGTTAAGTTCTGTTAGAGATAACATGTATTAGACCAATATTGCCATAGCAAGACAACAAAGGTAGTTTCTGGCATGTCCCGTGTTATTCGTGCCTGTCAAGAGGAAATAATTTTAGGCTTCTCTGAGGTAATCAGACAAAGTTGTGTCAAACACTGCTTTATCTTCTTCAGATGTAAATACAAACTGTAAATTGCAGTTGCAAAAATGCAAATTGCAAACTGCAATTGCAAAAATGCAATCTTACACTATTCAGTAGGAATGCCATGAGGAGCACAAAAGAAAATAATATGATACTGTTCTGAATGTTTCTTAATTGAATTGACTGTTGATGAAAGCTGCTGGCTCCATAGTTATGAAGGAGGCTAAACCCTTTATAGCTGAACATTAAGAGGGAAGTGGTTGTTATCCACAGGTGTGATGCAATTCAGCTTCATGACTTTCTCCAACTGCAAAAAATAATTTAGTCATCAGATCACAACTAGACTATAACCTAATTTTATAAATATCCAAATTTCTTGCCTACCAGAAAGTCAAGTTCAGGTAGCTGCAGAAATGAAACGCTCAAGTCACAACAACAGCACTCAGACTCTTCAGCCTGCAGTGGAGTCTGAAGGACATTTAGAAATGCTTTTATTGATACAGAACTGATAACACAACAAAGAAAACTGACTGAGGTAGCCATCAATTTTATGTTTGGACAGAATATTATTTTAAATTGCTACATGCTCAGAGATTGTGACTGAGTACTTCTCCAGCATAAAGCATGTCAGCACAGTACCACGTCAACACTCTTAAGAGATAATCAGGCTGGTGCTGAGCAAGCAGCTGTGCCTAGACAGTGCCACACAGCGCTGTGCAGAGATACTAACTTAAGTCCTGAAGTGGTATGTGCCTGGTTAGCCCCCTCGGCTTATCAGAAGCGTCAAAGAGCCTGGCCAGACGCCGTACTGACATAACTATATTTCTTTCCCTTCAGCATCAGCTCATTCATCTCTAGCATGAGATCTCTACACTGCACTGCACTCACACATGTCTAAAGCATGCACTCCAGTAGCAGCCTCAGCAGAGATTTTTCAAGGAAACATACTTACTAATTGGAGATCGGAGAGTAAATATATTGCATTCGGAAAAAAAATTGATTTGGGGAGTTCTAAAACTAGCAGTATTTTAGTGTTTCTATGTTTAGTGTTTCTAGCTATTTTAATGCATAAAGTAGGAAATGGCACAGTTCAGACTAGATTGGAAGCTTTTACACTGCCCAGCTGAATTTCATCTCACTTGAATAGTAGAAGTACAGTCATCCTTTGTGCATCCTTTATGGTTTCCCTTTATTAGACCAAGCCTGTGCCTTCCTCACCTGTCAAAGCCTGGAATCGTATCCCTGCGCATTTCAGCTCTGTCTCCTCGCATTTTCCCCCCAGCCCAGTCCAGTCCTGCTTCTATTAATCAGTTCCCCTAGCGTCTGACTTCAACATATAAAAGAGAGAAAAAGACTGGCTTGTTACTGCCAGGTAGGGGTAAAAATCCCTGCAAATTTGTTAGTCTTCTCTGTAAGAAGAAAGACAATGCTTTTGAACTGAAGAATTAGAGTTGCAAGATATATTGAAGTTATAAATATAATATAATATAATTGAAGTTATTGAAATATAAGTTTTGTGCAGCATGACTAACAATATGTTTACAGATAGAAGAGGCGGAAGGGCCATTAGTTTAAAAAAACAGATATGACCTAGAGGAAGTGAAGTGCTGTGACACTAGCCATGGATGCAAGGAGACCCACAGGAGAGGAGAAAGATGAGTTGCCTGCTGTACCGCTGAGATAACTGATTAACCTGAGGAGCTAAAGGGAGAACAGAGAAGAGAACTGATGAATGGGGGATGGGGGGGAGAAAAAAGAATGGATTCATTTCAAGAGGAGCAAAAAGACAGTCAATTAATTTGTGTAGGAGCAGAAAATGGATTAGCTTTTGGAGAAGCAGGCAGGGAGGTAGAGAGTACAGAATCACCACCCATTACTACAGTAATGGTCAAGGAATGAACATTAGTAGAAAGCACCTGTTAGGTTCCTGATGGCAGGTCTTCTTACTCAACATAAAAAAGTATTTTGTGTAGTATGACATCAGTGTACAAATGCAGCAGCAGAAAAAGCTACTGGAGGCAGGGAGTAAAATTAGTCCCAGCAAGTGATCAGCACATAAACAGCGATTCTAGTGAAATGTGAATTGATGACCATCGCCAGGTTGCTCCTGAAGCAATTAAAAGTAAATAATTTGAATTGTTCGTATTACTGTACTTTCATCATCCTTAATGCCTGAAGGCATTTTAAGTAAATGTTACTCTCCCATTTAGTTACATGAAACATTTGTCAGCCATTCAGGCAAACAAAGCAAAATCATCTTCTATATATCTTCCAATGTTTAGGGAAGTGATTCTCATACTACTACACAGGACTTGTGACAAACATATATGCACACACACAGATTTAGCAACAGGAAAAATAAACTCTAACATATTTCTTTGCAGTAAAATTTTTGAGAATTTTGCTCTCTATGTGCCAATGTTATGGATTCAACTCTCAAAATAGTTTTTCAGGTTCAGTGTAAATCTTGTTTTACTTACGTCAGATTTTGTTTCCTACTCAGGTAAACAGACAACCTACCACCTCCTCGGGGCGGTCTACCTTTCATTCAACACAGTGACAATTAGTAGCAATAACTTCATCAACAGGAAGGCTATCTGAAATTCCTATTGCAGTCCTTCTTTTATTAGTACTTGAAGACAGGCCAAGAAAGTTAACAACTTATTTGACTCAGAAGCAGAGATGTGGAGGTCATGAAGGATTTTTTTCTTATTTTTTTTAACAGAAGTATAATACTGTCATCTGTTAACACTTTATGATGATAAAATACTAATGTGAAAAAGTATGCATTTGCTTATAAAAGAAATGCCCTTTAGAATCTAATTAATACTGCAGTTCACATGTTCAGCAAGAAGAACCACTTCAGTATTGAAATCCATGAAATGAAACAACTTCCATGCAAATATCTTATAATTCCACGGATACTCAAAATTAATAGGTGATAAAAAGAGTTTTCCTCTGAAATCAAAATTGTGTATTCTTCTAGAAAAGAAAATCTGCTAAAACATACCTACGCAAGGGAGGGAATAACCAAGCTCAGGATCATGGATGAACTGACGATCATTCAGCATAGTCACACAGTACAAATGGAAACAGTCGAGGCAAATGACATGGCGATGCATGCACTGGAACACAAGCACAGGACTCCTGTTAAAAACAAAACGGTGAAAATAATGAAGAAATACTCTATTGTATGAAGAAATGTGGCTCAAACTCCACATTGTACTGTATTTCAATTTGTAATATTATAACAGTTTTTCATTAGTGGTATACAATATTATATAACGTATATAAAAACAGAAGTTAATCTGGCATATTGCAGAGCTTTTAGGAAGCGATGGTTCCTAACATGAATCAGAGCTAAGGTGCAGGACATAAGCTTTTACTGGAAACTTGCAGAGAGGTAGAACATCAAATAAAGGAAAAGGGAACTGAACAGTATTTTACAAGAAAACCGCTTTAGCAACAGAAATCCTTCATAGGAGGCGGGGTAAGATTATGTATGATAAAATTGCAAATGGTGGAAGGTAGGATCGCATATAAATGAGACCAGCTAGGAAAGCTAAATTGGACCTTGTGAGGACCGTTCAATGCCTTTAGCCTCTCAAATCAGCCTCAGCCCTCTACAGAGAGGGCATTCTCTTTGTAAAGATGAGCAAAACAATTCAGCTTCTAGACAGAGGTGTGGTATTCAATTTGGGAATAAGACACTTAAATGTCAGTGCTATATACAACCATCTATGGGCATGCTAAGTGAGAAATTTCCATTATAGTCAATACATTCAGGGGAGCCTAGAGCTGCTCAGCCTCTGTCTATTTGCATGAGGGTGAGCTGAATCAACCTCTAGGCTCCGTGGTCTACATGGACTAAATCTCCACTGATGATAATGGGAGCTAAGACACCCACCATACAAGCAGGGACCTACATGGAAACATTTAAATGTCGGTTTCCCAGCCTCAGGAGGATACCGTTTCTGGAGATGCAGAGTGGGTACGCTCACAACAAGTTAGCACAAACAGTTTTACTCATGAGCAGACCTACACCCAGAAACTCTTCCAGTAGTCACCACAGCAAGAAAGAGCAGTGGCTCCCAAAATTCTGCTCAGAACCAAAACACTGGAGGTGGAAAATAAAACAATACAGTACATTTTACATATATATGAAATGTGTCTCCACATGATAAACCCAATGGCTTTCCTATAATAGACATTAATTTCTGTAGATTTTGATAGACAGGTCTTAACTGTCGATTCCAAAGTAATGACTATGCCCCCTTTAATAGAGTCATATGCTCCTTAAGTGTTATGCAATACTGTTTGCTTATCTCTGCTCCTTTAGAAGTATTATAAAACCCAAGAATCAAAAAAAAAAAAAGGAAAAAAAGGGAAAAATAAAAAGAGAGATGAGTAAAGCTGAAAAGAACAGTGAAATTCAGATCCAAATGCTGAACTATTTTACTCCTTTTATTTACCTGTGGGCAAACATGGGTAAACATGGGTATAATTGTTAGTTTGTTCAGCAACTAGAAGGACAGAGAATTATTTAAAAAATGAAAGCAGGAATTCTCACATATTCACCATACTCCAAGAGATAGGTATTAAAATACAACATCAAATACAGCAGGACCTGTGATAAAACTGTAAGAGTTAGCAATACTGCTATAGCTTCTATACCTCCTCCCAGATAATACTTTGAAAATCCACTGAAACTGTAAATCACCAAGCCCTCAATGTGGGAATACAACTGCAAAATGTAATCAATAATAATTTCAGATATGGTATATAAGCATTTAATCTTCCATGAAAATATGCTTCAGAGTCACACATACTATAGAATCTATGGCAGTGTGTTGGTATCTCTAAAAATATAACCTCAATGTTTTAAGGATTTCATTGAATAAAGCAGCTTAAAAACTGAATTAAATAAAACCTCCCCATTACTAATCCTTATTAGTTGCCCACTTGCTGTTTTGAATGTAACAAATAATAATTTTAAAAAGACAGCTGGAAGGCAAAATGAGAAGCTGATCTGTACCGTTTTAGCTCTGGATACTCCCAAAATCATTATAGAGAGCTGGAGGAGCAGTTAGCTTATCCCTACTGTGTAAAAGTCCCCTTGGTTCACCAGTCAAATGTAATCTTAAGTAAAATACCCCAAAGATTTCTTCCTGAAATGCATATGTAAACAGATTTGCCTATGGCTTTAAAGGATCTCTCTCTTTCAGGGTTAATTATTCATTTTTATTGTGGCAGTCTCTGAGTATTTTTCAAGTTTAGGGGAAAGCTCCCCAGATTTAAAAGTGTGTACCTTTCTATCCTTGGGTTCTAAGCAAAGATACATCTTCTGTGTGAGGACAGATCCACAACAGTAAGCCAACAAAAGCTGAGTAGCTTAAAAAACCCTGACCAGAAATTAAAATGGCGTTATTAACCCTTCACTTCAACTTACATGAAACCAAGACTAATAGCACTGAATTATGCAAATCAACTACTATCAGTTACCAATGGAAATTACTTGCGATATCAATCTTTCTTCTTAATATATTACAACTCTTTCAAATCAGACTATATTCTCCAGAAAGAGCATAGCCATATATGCACACATTTAAATTGTGACTTTATGAAAAATATTTTTGTTAAAATGTGTTATCTGTTACCACTATTGGACTCGCAGGAAATGCATATAAACTATAGACATATTTTGGTTCTGATCACATCACAAAACACACATAAACTTAGCCCTCACAGATATTACAATGTCTGTTAATTTTGCAGCCTGCAGTATCTATGTCATAAGGCTTTGAGAAACTCAATCTGCATGCAATGCAAATTTATCCAAATTAATTGGCATTAGAACAGTCACTACCTTCCAACACTCTCAGACTTTGTATCAAAAGAAAGAGCTTCTTCCAGTTTAAGAGACCTATAAAAGTTTTGTTCCTGAGATCAGTTAAGACTATGATATTGCAAAGATTATGTTCATAATGCCTGAGTGGAGCTAGTAGATATTCATTTAGGATAATCTCAAGTGTTTTTAATAAAGCCTTGCTTGAATCAAGCACAAATTAATTTAGAAAGACAGGAATACTATGAAAGTCAAAAATTTTGACATATATTGAAACAAGGGCCCTTGCTCAATCTAATATAACAATTTAGAAATGTAAATCTGATGTATATTTTAGAAAGTATTTCATAGGTTCCATTTACACACTGTATTTGGCTGAATTAGAGGCTCCATGAGAACCATCCATAAGAAAAATGTTTCTCACAGTAAGGGATAAATTGGTCCTTTTCATTCGCCAATTAGGAACGTAACCACTTTTAAAAATTGAAAATTCAGCATTACAATGAATCACAGAAATTCCATAATTAAGTCACTTGCTCCTGTGCTCTGATTCCTTTTCATTAGAAATTTATCAGCACACATTTACTTAAATGAGAAAGAAGAGATGTTTCTGCATCCTGTTTTTACCATGGAAAAACTGTGTGATGCCACAATGACACTGTTGGAAACACTGTCTGGTCTGTGCACTCTTTCCTTCTTCTCCTAACTGAGAAGCAGCAAGATGCACGTATTCTCAGACACACTACAACCGTATATTGGCTAAATAGAGCAAGGTATGAAGACCAATCTTGTTTAGATAAAAACCCCGCTAAGAAATAAATTGTCCTAGTATATCCCAAAATCTCACTTGTTATTAAAGTACTGAGAGCGAGTCCCATGGCTATGAATGTGAGGGGCTATTTAGCATACGGAATTATTTGCACACATAACAGTGGATCCACCAAAATATCTTTCAGTGTGCATTTATGAAAAACTTGGGCCAATTTTTTCCTCTCTTGGTCCTTGGTCTTTAGCCTTCAAATTTTAGAAGAAGGTTGCCTGAGTAAAGGTTAAATCACACATATCAGTCCTTTTTTTTTTTTTTTAAGAAAATGTGAGTAGCCACAGTTTGAAGCACTTTGCAGACAAAAATATACCTAAAGCCTGTAGAAATTTCTGAAAAACATGTTGGATAAATCTGTGAAAACCCCTCAAGGTCATTCCTAGGTGACAGTTGGATTTTTCTCACCTCCATTTCAAAATCTTAACCCAATAATAATAAAAACCCTTAGCGATGTCTACAAGGCTGACTTTCTGGGATTACATCAGTGAAGCAAAAATAGCCATTTGGGATTCATTGCTCTGCAAGAAATAAATCTAAACGCGCATAGCTATATTATAGCCTTTAACCCCACCCACAAGTGCAATATTTATCGTAACACGCTTCTGCATTTCTAATATATTTTTCTATGTTGGCAGTCTTCCTGTACTTCAAAAAGCTTTCTATGCAGGTACCATGAAATCATTTTCATTTATAAATGGAACCGTATGCTATTCCAAAATGAATCTTTGTTAACTTACAGGTCAGATCGATAAGCACCATTCAAGAAAAGATGAATCACTGAATAAAAAGTGTAAAAAAAATCAAATTACGGAAAATACAAACTCAGGCTACGTAGACACTACAGGCACTATCCTACTTCATAAACACTTGAAGTAATTAAACAGAAATGCTGTCCATGAGCAGCACTCAATCAATTTTGGCTCTACCCTTGCAGCAGAACAAAATTACAATGCCTAAACAAGCCAAATCATCCATCCATCACACAGTTTTCTCACCGAACCCTATGTAGGAAGAATATAGTCTTCTAATTCATACAAAGCTGGTGCCACATCTGGTTTTCCTCCCTATTGCATACAGTCCACAGTCCTATTTAAGATTATCCAGAAAGTGCCTTCTGTTTATTACGTTTCAAATGCATTGTCTTCTTACCATAAAAAATACTCCCAAGTACTTTCTGTTAGAGTAGATCACTAAATTCTATTAGAAACATGCTGCTCTTTATATAAAATATAAATATCTAAAATATATAAAATGATCACATTATTTCCTATTTTAAAACTGAGGCAGTCTAGAACAAAGAATAGCAACACATCCTGCCTTTTAATGAGCAATATGCTATTACAGGGAAATGTAAACAGTGACCCAGCAACTGCAGGGAGCAACTTGTGAGCAACAATGCAGGTCCCTAACAATCTAGGCAAAGGCTAGACATGTGAAGTGGGAATAAAGCCCTTGCAAGAGAAAAGAAACAATGATAAG